GATTCGGATTGCCGGAAAGGATGTCATTTAAATGCAAGAAGTTTCCAATGACGGCGATCGGCATCAAAACAAAGCCTGCACCTGCCTACTCGGAAGGATTAACTATTCGATGGTTGGTAAGCTTTAGCCAAGCTTAAATAGCATAATGAAGCCAGATTTGAAACATAAATTTTAAGGCCGGATATAATGTGGCATGAGCTGGCTTGGAACATAATGGCTTCATTTCTTTATCGGCCACCGCTGCAACCAAGCGACGAATAGTCCGTAACGATATTGATTAAGTTAATCAGGTCTTTCTTTTATAAATGGCAAACTAGCTCTGTCAGTCAGAGTTACTATGCATTTCAGACCCCATGAGACCCTGTTTTTTGGCGATAATTTATTTAATATTTGTCCAATTTGCTTCAAATTTTCACAGTGCACATTTCAGCTCAAGCGCCAATTTTCGTCAATATGGTCTCTTAACAAAATTTTAAATTTAAGGGTACTTGTCGTTGCCTCGTAATGTTAAAATCGGCTCCGTAAATCCGTCAGTGGAGTAGAGGCTATCCGTGCGTACGCGTGACGTCACAAACACGTGACCATTAAGCTCCGCCTTCCCGGCGGACGGGGCGGTGACCTTGGCCGGTCAGTCGGCTGCGTGGAGCGGGCGGCGGTGGCTGCCGCACCGGGGCGGCTCGCATGGAGCGTAGCTGCCGTGCAGTTGTCGTTGCAGCCGTAACTTCATCGAATGAGCAAAAAAAGCGCGTATAAGTAACGCACTAGCTGAAGCCCTTGACTTTGTATTTATCACATATGCAGGTACACCCTGTTTAGTCACAAAAATATATGAGTCCACACAAGATTCGGGGCTTCTGAAAACGCATATAAAAGACGCTGTTGATTTCAAATGATTGCGTAAAATTATGCATCAGGTCAGACTACGACTACGTCTAAATTGCAAAAAAAAAGAATGTGTTTCTTAATGACCGTTCTCGTATAGTGCTCAACCTTCGCCTGCCACCTTCCTATTTCTTTTTGTGCACGTCTTAACAATATTACACACACAGCGATAAATGACAATTCTATCACACGACACATCACGCTTCTGCTCCACCCGGCGCCCCGCACCGCTTTACGAATCACGAATACGGTCGTCTCGCTTGAGTGATGCCCCAGGCAATCGGCCGCGCCCGCGACATTAGTCTTCATTCTACTTTGTTGCTTTCTGCGCCTTCTTCAGAAACATTCACTGAAGCTGCCAAACATATCAATATTTTTGGGTCATGTGGAGGCTTGCGCATGATCTCATAGGTAATCGGGTATAGTGACCTGACCCAACCTGACGATGAGATATACGTGCAACTCCGGCGTAAATAATTGCCCAGAGTCCAAGAGTTCAACTTTCTTTTCTTTTACGGCCGTATCGGTCTAATTGATCCTACCTTGATTCTGAGGCCAGTTTTACCAACAGAAAATAGCCACCTGCCGGAAATTTTCGCCTTAAGACCGCTTTGCATACGGAGCGTAACGCGATGGGCACGTAAGCAGATAGGGCTTTGCCTTTTACTGATCTGAAGCAGTCTGCGCAAAAAAAAAAAAAAAATCCAGCAGGCGGCTATTTTTCTGTTGGTAAAACTGGCCTCTGATCATTATGAATATTATGAGCTGGTTCGACGTTAAGATATCAAAATATGGAGAAGAGGACACCACTGCCCTCGAACGGATAATTTTTGGGCTTCCGTCCCGAAACAACTTTGCCAGCTCCATTTGTCTCCAGTATGCGGTCCTGCTGCGACCTCTCTGCGGTGCTGACGCCGACTGAAACGGCATAGACCCATCGCGGTCACGGCCAGTGGGCGGAGTCAAGTTGGGCCCGGCGTAACGTGATTGGCCAGCGCTCCTATCCAATCCGGTGCGGCAGCGAGCGAGCCTCTATCCGGGAGCCAAAACTGATTAACATTACGAGCCAACGACAAGTGCTCTAAATTTTGATATTTTGTTAAGAGACCATATTAGCAAAAATTGGCGCTTGAGCTGAAATACCGTATGCCAAAATTTCAAGCTAATTGGACAAAAACTGGAGAAATTATCGCCGAAAAACAGGGTCTCATGGGGTCTGAAATGCATAGTAGATTCTTATTAGCCGTATTAACTACGTACCTATTGTTCTTATTCAGCCCTTGGGTGCTGCCTTTACACAGCGTTACGCAACCACAGGTCGGTTGCCATGCCAACCATCCGCCCACTTTGTTCTGCCTGTGTCGCAACGCGGATATACAGAGCACCGGCCATTTTTGCGGCGGAGGACACGTCATCGGTAGGCACGGGTAGGGGGCGTTGATGGAGACGACTCTTTGACGCGTGGGTCGGTGTCTCGGCCTCGACAAAGGGCGGCGGCCTCTGAGACCGCTCCTTCACACAACACCCAGAGGCGGCGGGAAAGGGAGAGTCCTCATGGGGACCCTGCCCTCGCTGGCCACTGATCCGCTACTCGGGCGCGTCCTTGCCGGCCGCCGGTCGGCCTTCGGTACGCGGACCGTTCACCGTCCGAACACCTGACCAAGAGCCCTCACCGTTGTCCTAATGCCACGAGCACGGCACGCGTCCGAGCGATAAGCTGAAGGGATAGACGGGTAGAGTTTCGTTCACACCTTTGTAAAATATAAAGCTTACAGTTCATAACAAAGACACAACGTTTCGTCCGCTGTTGTTTCATTCAGAAAAGCCTTCATCTATTTCACTTCACCTCGTCATTTATTTCTTCTTGTTTGCTCTAGCTACATTCCCGAAGTTTCCAGAGGTGTTTCAAGTTCGAGATGACTGGCTAATAGGTACCCAGCTCGGCTCCAGCTGCCGCCGGCGCCGGTCGGCCGTGTCATGCTCCGTCTCCGGGCCGTCCGACGGCTCGTCTCAGTCGGAGGTTCAACGACCACCTCTCTGGCGCGGCCGGAGCTGACTCGGCGGGACACTGCCGGCGGCGGCCGACCGGGGCGCTGACCCGTGACCGTGGCCGATCCTCTGCACCCTGCACACCGGCGCACCCCTCCGCAACCCGCGGCTGACGGCCACCGCCAACACGGGCCTGTTGCATCACCACAAGAAGAAATATTGACTCCCTGTGGGGTTGAATGCGGTAGTGTTTGCATGTGTGCTGCCCCTTCGACATGCTTGCACCCTGCTTTTGAAGGGAAGGTGGTTGCCGCATATCATTTATGCAAGTCTTGCACAATATGCATATTTATGAAATTTTGTCTAAATATAGCATTGTATCGCAGACTAGGCCATGTCTTTTGTCTAGTGTCCACATCAAACATAGTCTACGTAGGCATAATTCGTATATCAGATATTCGGATACAGGTATGAACGATATCAGGTATATCGGGTATCAGATAGTGGATATACGTGTATTCGGATGGCGTATCCAGTGAGCAACGAACGCTTATAGATAGGTACAAAAGCGATTGCACAAGAGATACGTTACGCAACTTGTGCATTGCATCCTTATATAAACGGTGAACGCAGTTAGCTTCTAAAAAAAACAACCAATCATCAGCCCTTTAACACTTCTTCTAGCCATAAATCACGTCACTGATCACGCCAGTATGTCGGTGCCGTAACAGACTCCGTCTTGGTGTCGGCACGTGCAGTTTGCCCATCACGTGACAGCGCCAGATTCGTCACAGCCGGCCACGCGGCAATACCTGCGCAGTGGTGACTAGCCTGGCGCAGTCGACACACCGACCGTAATCACAGCATGATCACCGGAAGCGGCGAGCGACGCAATCTCATTTGCCGAAATTTGCCGTCATTCTGGGCGCTGCTGCCTTGCGGCGCCTCGCTGTGCCGGCGGCGAAGCGCGGTGGGTGGAGGGTAGGTACGATTTTCACGGAGCTACGCGAATCAGCGATTATTTCGTACGTAGTTATGATACCACGTGTGGTGTTAGATGCCCTTTCCTGCAACACGTGTAGCAGTTGATAACTTTTCTGTGAAACATTACTTGGGCTAGCTCAATGCAGCACGAGCGCGGGAGGATGGCATTGACTTATATTGTGACGAGTGTTCTGGGCATTCGAATTTCGCCTTCCAGTTTCCTAAGTCAGTTAACAATGTTAGGAGACCGGTGACGATTTATATTGTTGATGTAAGTTTTGTAAGTTTTGTAAGTTCTGTAGGTTTTGTAAGTTTTGTCGCTTTTGTAATGCAACCAAAGATAGCAAACTAATGAGTGAATGCTGATTATAATATACCTCCTCCTTACAATGTGCGTCTAGTTGCACCTTTTAATGGTAACTAAAAAGACAAGAAGTTAGAACAGTCAAGATATTTTTCATACCAACTCAAGACAGCACCGATAGGACATCCGACTATCTCACAGCATCGTTAATTTCCGAGCTATGTACGTCAGCGCCGGCGGTGGATCGGGCGATCGCCCAGCGACCTTCGGAGCGGCCGGTCGCCGGGAGGGGCTGTAGACCGAGTGCTCCACACTGGGCACCATGCGGCTCTCAGGTCATCGACCGAGGCGGCTCGTCGGGCCGCCGACGGGGCCTGTCCGGGCCGCCGGCTTCCCACCACCACACTCCGACTCCCAGACAATTAATGCGGAATGATTCCTGATAAAGGCTCGGGCTTATATCGGTCTATATGTGAGTGCAATGAACTTGACAACAGAACTTGCTGGGACTTGCATGTTATTAGCGATTGATGTATATTTTCATCGATGTCCTCAGTTCCTCCTCTATCTATCAACTTTGACCAATGCGTCTTGTATTCCGTTCACAGGATTCCGGACAGACCTATGAGCCGCTTCAGGAGGATCCGATCCTTTCACTGTGGCTCAGAGACAGTCTCCAGTCGTCGGGCGCTGGACTGCTCCACCCCAAGACCACCCGTAGCCGCTCCTCCAGTCGCCGCCGTCGCCACCGCCGCGGAGCGAGCGCCGTGTCAAAGACCAGTTCTGGCAGGACGCATGCGCAGTGCGCCGCCGGGCCGGGGGCGGCGGCCGGCTCTGGCCCCGGCCCACCAGCCAGTCCCCTGTCGACGCCGAGAGCGAGCGGACGCGCCGTGCTGTGCAGGTCAGAGATTTGAGCATGAGCCCACCCTAGTGACTGGACGACAAGATGCCGAAAATATTCTTACTTCGCGAGAAGTTGAGCAGCAACTTCGACGCGCTGCTTGGCCACCCGAAGGGCCAGCACGAGGAGGGTCTGTCGCGTCGGTACGGAGACGATGAGTCGGACGGAGAGGATGAACTTGAGGAGGTGTTCACGAGGCCGCAGCGGCTGCCGCGGCCGCGCCGGGACAGCCTCAGAGAGGAGCCGGCAAAGACAGCCGAGCAGAAGACAGAGTCCGTCTCTGCAGACACAGCACCAGGTGAGTTCTATACCGGGGCGAGTGGGGAGCGGGGTGCTGGGATGTGGGGAGACTGCCAGAGATGGTGGGGCGGAGAGTCAGTTGCGAGTGTCAGCGCTCATAATCCAGGAGGGTGCGCCGGTCACAACAATAGTGAACCGGACCGGTATCGGAAGGCGAGTGCGCTGTTGGTGACATGAGATTGATTGCTACCTACACAGACAGCATTGCCATCTTGTTTGCATCTCTACGTCGACCCGCATGTTCGTTAGAAATGTCATCAATGACAAGCGGTAAAGATTAGGATACTTTTCTCGTATAGTGACTGTCATGCCATTGAAAGTGAACAAGCGGACTACAGACTACCATTGTATGACCCCGGGTTGAATGGAAAAGGATTGGTGCACAGTGCACACTTCACTAACTATGACAGAGTTGCCACCACACCTGGCCTGTGTGCAGCGCTCCACTGCTCGGCTGGGGCGCGGCGCGGAATGCAGACTGCCACAATGGAGACGTGAACAGAGCGACATTTCCTTCTGACACAGAATGTGTCACTCATACCGTACCCGTTCCAAGGAATCATCTGGCTGCAAAATATGTGAGGCGGACATAGAATGAACAGCCGTTGAGTCATGATTATAGCTGTTGCCGGGCCATGCAATCTCATTCATTAGTGAATTTGAATAGGCACACCAGGCACACGTCTGTCTGCTTTCCTAAACTTGAACATGTTAGAAATAGCCATAGAACATTGCGCTTAATCGCAAGTTTTGCGGTCTTCGGAAAGTCATCATCGGACCCTGTCTGCCTCCTGCGACTTGTGAGCCCTCTCTCTGTGCGAGTCATCAGAGTGGTTACACGACAACGTGACTACAGTTGTTATTACGCCCAATTTCCCACAAACTCCATCTCCACGGAAGGCTAACTTCGTCCCTTACCCACTCAACCCGCCCGTCGCAGGCGGGACGGTCACGTCCGATCTCCACCCGGGACAAACAGCCGCTGCCCGGCCACCGACCTCAGTGTCAGCCACCGTGTCGGTGTCGTGTCGTGGCGCCGGGGTTTCGTGACAGAGGGTGGCTCTGCGCCCGGCAGCGGGGTGATAGGGCACGCGACCTGGGCTGGACACTGGTTAGCGGCGCTTCCGGCGGCACGGGGACGGTGACCGCTCGGGAGGGGAAGGGAAGGGAAGGAGGGACGGACGGGGAGCGGTGGCCGTGGCGTCAGGGCCAGCCCGCGACCACTTTCATCGCCGGCCAGTTGCCCGGTAAGCCGGCAGTCACGAGCGGGGCGCACCTGGTCACGCACCGGCACCGAGACGCCAAACAAGGCGGCTACAGCTCGCCCGGCCCCCGCGCCCGACTCCGGCTCCGCCTATCCGGCGCTGTTAGCCTGTCCGTGACCCCAGGACACGGAGCACCATGACTTGATAAAGTCGAGGCGGAAGGCTGCTAACAGTTCCACCGGTACCGCTGCGGTGACTTCCACTCTCACCCGTCGGGCGGTCAAACGACCGCACTGGCTCCGGGCGTAACACGTGGAGACTGCAGTACACTTGAGGGCGCACAGAAAAGTAACACCAGCCGGGCGGAGACTGCAACAGCCAACGTGGCAAGTAGAAACAAAACACCACGACAATTTCGGTATGCCTTCTGCGCTCAAGAAATAAGTAATACCTACATAAATGAACACCACAATGATAGTCAGGCTTATAATGGAAGGAGAGGACGGGCATAGCGTATTACTATGTAGACGGATGCTGTCGCAACCCATAGAGATGCCTCATAACGTCACCTCGGCTGGAGACTGCAGTGGCCAAGGAAACGCACAGAAGCCTAACACCAGGACGGAGCGCTCACAGAGGGAGCTCAATACCGAACAGAAAGATATCTTCCGAGTGACCTAACTTCGGGACGACACCCTGGATGGGCTGTGACACTACGTCTGTTACATTTTGGAGTCGGAATTCATCCAGCATGACTCGTGCTCTTCCTGAAAGGCACGTCTGCGTGCGTTGGCAAATCAATCGGCCCCGCTGTGAAGGCGCCTGAGGGCGGAGCGTGGAATTCTCCCCCAGAGGGGAGGGTGTCTCACGCAGTGGAGTGGTGGCAACCACAAAGGAATACCGCCGGTGCCGACCTCGCAGCGTCGGTTGTTTACGGCGCCTGAGGGCAGGCGGAAGGGCTTTGACTTTCGGTCCGAGCGCTGAGGCGTGTGGAGCGCCTCTGTGGCGAAAACTCCCTGAGCAGTCGTCATGCCCAGCTAATGGTCAGCTCAGCGTGGGTGGGAGGTGACCTTTGCTCCCGGAGAAAGACCGAGCTCGTGTGTTTGGAGCCTGCATGTCGAGCCCTCTCGGACCGTGAGGTGTGCATGTCTCGACACCCATGTGCAGCTCGCTCGACATGAGGTAATCCGGCATTGGCCTTGACGTGGGATTAAGCGGTAATCAATTCTCCAAATCAGAAAAATCACGCTGTATTAAGCCGGAGACAACAAGGCGCTTTCACAAGCACTTCACCACAAAAGTCCAGGTGCAGAGTATGGTTGGTTTCATAACTTCATCTCCCACAGAAGCCCATGCTGCAAAACTCGTCTCCCATTACCCCGTGACCCAGCGCCATCATTAAAGAAAAAACATTACTGCGAGGCTGCAGCAATGCATACACATGATGCCATCGATCCAGTGAGACAGAGCATACAGATGGGAGCGGGACCTGTCTATGTGTAATAAAGAGTGGTATCGCTGAGAGCGGGATTTCCAGTCGGGGCAGAGTGGGAAGAGAGGCAGAGGAGTGGAGGAGAGGTAGAAGTGCCGGGTGTGGCCGGTTGTCCCTGGGCCGTGCTGCTGGATACCTCTCAGCGGACGTCATGCTGATGGATTGATCAGTTATGCGGCCAGTGACGGTATCCCAAGAGGTCTGCTGCCACACCTTCCTCGTTTGACTGGGTGGGGTCGGGACGAGAGAAGTGCACTGTCACGTTCGTCTTTAACGAAAGTTAAGTAACTTATATAACAAATTTGAGGAAAGTGCGCAGTTGCATTGTTGGGCTGCAAACTCGTACGCTAGCAGAGACGATCAGACGCTTTTTATCGAATTGCAGGGGTTGTTGGGGACACTCGTTTGCCTGAGAACAACTGCACGTTGCCTGGCAGCCACAGACCACCACCACCGGTGTCAGATGGCGGCCGAGATTGCAGACCCCGGCGCCCGGTATTTCCCGGCGTTCTCTGCAGCGCTGTGTGTCACTGGTGCCACTGCAGTACACTCCAGCTGCGCCGGTCGTGTCGATCGCCCAGCTATCGTGTCCGACGAGCGTTCTTTTTCTGGGTTCGAGTGGAGGCGGTAGGCCATGGGAGTGCCGCATGACGTTATCCAAATGCCGGGAAATATCTACAGACACCGGCTACTGGTCATACTTTGACGGATTATCTGTCAATGACTTTTACTTTTACCGCAGTTCGGGGTCAACGCTTTCCCTGTCGGCGATAGTTCACCAAAGAACGGCATGCCGATCGCCGTATCACTCAAGGTTGTCTATTTTACCACTCTTTTCAATAACCTAAAACGCAAACACCGCATTAGACCGGCTAAAACTGACGAGTGTCTGACAGCACACACGTGATAACGCTGGGTAGCATGACACCTTCCTCAGCTGGCACCGCGCCACTCCGTGAGTTCCCAGGACGGCGGGCATAGTTCCACGATCCCGGCTACATGACGCGGTGAAGAAGCGCCGGTCCCCACTGGGATACCAGACAGCAAAAACTGCGAACAAAAACGGCGTCACGTCCTTTCACCTTGAACCGGGTAACGGTTATAGTCCTGTCCCCTATCCCGACCCGGCAACGACGCCGGGCGCGGCCGCATGTTACCGCTGGGATAATCCGTGCAATGACGCACATGGCCATCCGGTGATGGCCGACGAGCTATGATTTGGTTTGGTTTTGGTTGGAATGGGGGGCCGAGGAGGACCGGGTGGGAGTTTCAGCAGTGCTGCTAGGATAGTGCGCATAGTGAGGGAGGTGGGAGACTTGGTGACAGCAGTTGTGCACAGGTCGCTAACACCGGGAATCCAGACTGATACGGACAGAATACAAAGCGTAGAAACAAAACCTTCGGGTGGTTTTAATTAGCGTCATTCAACATGTGCGTTGACATGTGACATACATTAACCTTGTGATGACTGATGGTATTTGAATGAACGCATATCTATTCATTACAGTTAACGTTAAATGACAGCGGTAATTACGCGACAGCGAGTTTCCGTGTGGTGGCGGAGACATTTGCAACATCCGCAAACCGGACATTTGCGGCATATGACGTCCATGTCCGATCATCCCGCGGGGCGGAACACATGGAGTTCTCAGCGGACTATACCGTGTAACCCGACACTGACAACCAGCTTCCTAATTGGACACGATCTGTGACGTCAACGAGCGCTGGTGACGCTGCGTTCAGCGTACCGTGAGCATGGCGATGTCAGATAGCGCCGATGGCTGCTTACACCTAGAGAAAGACGGAAAAACCGGCACTATATGTTGCCGGCGTCGTGAGTATCAACACCATCATGACAGCCAAGCTGTGATTTTTGTGTGATTCTGTGCACGCATGCGGCATGAGCGATAACACTGATTTCAGGGTGAGGGTTTTGATGATCGTACCCAATGACTTTGTACGTTTTAAGCTGCCCTTTTGTTGCTAAAGGGACCGTTGGAAGTCTGCATGGAATTCGAAGGAGGGACTAAACCTCTCTCAGAGTTGCACCGGTGCCTGCATTTCGATATCAGAGTCTCGTGTATACCATACGCTCTACCCGTTGCCCTACTGGTCTTTAGGATCGTCTTCCGAAAACTCGCAGCGTCATGGTCCACCGGTAAATATGGCATCGACCTGCACCCGCGGCGCTGCTGGGTTTTCCAGAACGGTGCAACAGCTCGTCTACAGAACGCTAGGATCCACCCGGTAGGAGCGATGGACAAATTACACTGAGAAGACAAACTGCGTATCATAGCGCCAAATTGCATACGCGTCGGAATAAAAAGCGAAACCATCTGTCACGCCGTAATTATTATTGAGAAATTTTTAATTAAAAAACAAAACTTCCGTCCTCAGCCTAGGATATTAAATATTGTCTATTTGGCTGGTAGATTTACACTTCTAGACGGCCTTCGCTACAGCCGTCTTGTAGATGCTGTTATCTCACCCACCCTATCATTCCTCTAGCGTAGTCCTCGCTCGTCACTCCTCACCCGGAGGGGTCAGCCTGTCTGTCCCTCCTCCCCTTGTTTACCCGTGCTTGGCGGGGGTCGACCCGGACCCACCCGCCCGCGCAGCACACAGATCGTCCCCGTCAGCGCTGAGGAATGCAGGGCGCTCCGTCCTGCTGCCTTGACCAGCGATCGCCGTCATTATAGGAGAGGCATGCACGCTGCCTGTCGGGCCAATTTCTCACCGATCCGTCAGTGCGTTCAGATGTGTCGGTGATAGCGGCTCGGTGGCGGAGTTTTCCCCGCTGTCGAACCGCTTGATCTGAGGTTGTTAGGAATCGTCAGGTCGCGGGTGCTGACGGGTACGCTCTCATGGCGAAATACTCACTGCAAAGGTGCACATTTTTAATAACACACTATCGCCAGAAAGATGCAGTTTAGTCAGATATTTACGAGACGGGCACCCTTTAAGATATAGGTTAAATCGACTTGCAAGGTCATAAAGTGACATTCCCGATGGAATAGCATATGACGAAACATTAAAACTTTTGGGGTCACCGTTTCGTTTTATGAACAATGATCGATGGACATAGCTTTGCGTTTTTGCGCTGACCACAAAAGAATCATATTCGCAAGCTATTTTTGTGGCTGTGTGGGATTACTCCTCTAACGACAGCCGTAAAGGATCGTGATTGATTGAGTTAGGCTTATCGTTAGCCTGTGTGAAAATATCGCTGGCGGATATAAAATATGCACGGCATTAATCCTTTGTTTCGCATATCAGCGGCCCCTGCCATGTAGTAAAGGTCTGTGTATTTCTTTTTTAATCCAGAACAGTATCTGTTTCAGCAGTCGTGCACTCTGAGGTTCGATAAGCCAAGCTCACAGAACACCCCTGTCACGCACAGTGCACGGTTTATCAACCTGCCATCAGGATGTGACCAGAAGCCTCTCCAACGTATACCCAGAATGCCGACGGCTTGCGGCGAGAACACTGAATAACCGATCCTTAGAAGTCAGATCATTGTTCTACATCGTGCCTATATCCGTGGTCACGAGAGGCATGCGTGACGCACTAGTCACGACGGTCTTGGTGCGGCGCCTGACACAATTCTCCGGCGCCGGGCGGGGCCGAGTGACGCATCTTCCCCGTATGGAGCCCCTCGGACCGGGCGGATCCGTCTCACCCAGTGCCGGCCGTATGACGCAGATCGCTCTGACCCGCCGAGAACAGTCACTGCTGCTGCTGCTGTTGTTTTTATGACGTCATCAGTACGGTCTGCAGGCCGGGCCGTGACGTCACTAACCGCACCGCAGTGCACCGGTCAGCCGAGGGCGCCGTTGCGCAACTGGAGCCGTTCTTGCGGGGCGCGGCGAGGGCGCACGACCGGACACGCCACCAAAGTCACTCCCCTGCGCAGCCCGCCTCCCGCTGCAGCTACCGCCTCCGGCAAAAGGCGAGCAGAACGCGTGGAGATTGCGGGGCGGCGGCGGCGGCACGGCCGATGCCGGGTTCTACGCACCGCGCCGCCGGTCGGCCAAGGTGACCCCGCGGCCCGGTCCAGCGGCCGCCGGCCGGCGACGGCACCCAGCGAGACGCGGGGGCGGTGACGGCGCTGTCACTGTGGCCACTTAGGAAACAGAGGGTGGGTGGGAACGCCGTCACTGCTGAGCGACAAGCGTGTACCTTCTCCACTCGGGCGCTGCTCCTAGCCTTCCTAGTTCATCAGATCGATGAGCGACGGGGTTCCCTTTCTCAATGTCCTTCGGTGCATGATCGGAATGCTGCACACGTCATGCACTAACGGACATGCTCAACGTCATCGTACCCATTCGTCCCATTCCTTGCAACATTCCGAGCCTCAGATAGCTCCGGGTCAAACCGTGTAGACATTCCGATGGGTCGCTGCCTGGTGTCACGGTAAAGAACGCCGTACTTCCCCACCCAGCCGTGCATCCTGTTCTCAGCGGCTCAGCCTTCACCAGGCACCGATTCACCCTCGATTCCACACTACTGCCGACACCCTTCGCCGTTCCTCGACCCCAGTCTGCGGTCGAAAAGTCCAATAGGAAGATCAGCGGAAAACGGAGCGGTCTAAAATTATACCTCCTGTTCTACGGCGTACTCGGGTAAGCCAACGCGCGCACCGAGAGACCCTCGAGGCTCTTTGTTTTGGCGAGGCGGCGAGCCGGTGAGAGCTGCCGTTTCCTGGAAGTGAAAGTCTGTTGGCTGTTGATGTTTACCTTGAGGTGGACGGGGCGTCCGGTATCGAACAACAGCCCAGTGTTCCTTGATGACGTGCGCCAGCCGACGCCCCGAACGGCCACGGCGACGTAGCACGACACCACTGTGTCTGTGTCACATGCTTTGCTGGAGTTATTGGTGCACTTTGATTTGACACTTGTCTGTCATTTCTCTCACAACAGCATACATTGGTGCGGTTCACACCCATCCACCTGCACGCGTTCACAAATATCAGGGCAGCGAGTCAGGGCAGTCAGGCGATACCCAGTGATTTCCGCATATGACAGTCTGGAGACAACCACCTTCTCCCTCACACCTTCGCCCGGCCCCGCTGCGTGCGGCTCGCAAGGCCGACCGGAGTGGCGGCAGGCGTGCTCTGGTCGTCCGTTGTTCCGGGTGACCAGGGACGGCCGCCCTGTCGGCAGAAGCCGCCGCCACATCACCCTCGGGACACAATCAGCAACGTCAAAAGGCCGACAGATACGCGTACAGATAGCCGGCTTATCAAGGAAGTGGAGTCATAAAAGAGATAATTGGAGCGTCAGTGATAGCGAGCGCTGCACGGCTTGCAGTCCATCAGATGGGTGGCAATGAGTGAGTATTTGCAGCCTGTCAAAAGCGGTAGTCCGGCTATAGCCCGGCGCGACAGGAGGGCCGGGGGGGGGGGTGACCTTTGGCCTGACAGCGTTGTCAGACACCCAGTTGTCAGGTCCGGTATTACAGAGGCTCATGGTCCGCTGGGGCCACTCACTCGTACAGCAATGAATCACAGGCAGCACAATGGGGATAGACATAGAGCCACTCGGGGGTCGGTGTGAACGGTGGGTCAGAACAGCGGAATGAGACCGGCGATACAGAGAAAAACATGGCAGTGACAAACAAGAAGACTGTATTGCATATTGCTAAGTGCTTACCAATTGCGCGGGTACTTATTGAATAGCGCTGATATTATGATACGTTCTTTTAGTTCGTGCTCATCCTCGCTGCGTTTCCACCCGATCTGACCGACGCCGTCTCTCCGCAGACTCGGACGCCAGCGGCCCCGGTCCGCAGTTCGGCTGGCCGCTGAAGGGCTGGCCTCGGCCGGCGGCGGGCACCTCCGCCCAGGAGCAGCAGCGCCGCCGTCAGGCCGCCGACAATGTGGATGCCGTCAGCCGGCGCCTGCAGGAGGCGCGCGTCGCCGACGACACCGACGAACCGGAGCTGGTGCGCGCCGCCGACGAGCGCGAGCTCTCCGAGGAGCCCGAGGAGGCGTGCCGAGCCGCCGCCGAGCCGGCGAGCGACGAGCCGCCGGCGTCCGCGGAGCCGCCGGCCGGCAGCGCCATCGACCTCTCGGTGGGCGCCAACCCGCTCAGCTGCTTCCCGTCGCTGGCGGCGCCGCGCCGCGGCCGCCTCTCGGTCATCGCACACACGCCGACGCTGCCCAAGAAGCGGCCGTTCTACCGACGCGACCTGCTCAGCGCGCGCGTCCACATCGACTCGCCACCGCCGCAGAAGCGGCCCATGAATCTGCGCGTGCCGCGCAATGGCTGCGCGCCCATGCAGACGCCGCTCGGCTCCGGTAGTAACCCGCTGTCTCCCACCCCGGGCTCACCATACCGGGGCGGGGGCGGCGGCGGCGGCGGGGGAGGTGGGCCCGGAGACCAGGGCTCCCCCAACGACAACCACATGAACAACCGAAACGGAAACAACAACAGCGGAAACCACAATCACAACAACGGAAACAACGACAACAATGGCGGCAACAACGGCAACAACAACAATAATAACAACAACAACGGAGGAGGAAACAACGGAAGTCTGTTCGGTGGGCCCGGCGCGGGAGGTCTGATCGGTCTGCTCGGCTGCAAGACCGAACAGCCGGACGATTCATACGAGACCGGCCGCCATTCTCCCAAACAGTATCAGACCCTACAATCAGCCGACATGGACACGTATCTGGGTAGCTACGTGGACTTACAAGTAGAAGGCTGCAAGCCGCCTCCTCAGCCCCCTCCAGCTCAGTCTTGGAGCGTGCACTCCACCAGCGGGCCTCTGCCTCGCCACGCGCCGCTGCCCTTCAACCTCAGCAGCACCGATCCGTTCGGACTCGGCGACTCGTACGAGCTGGATGTCGAGCTGTTCGCCGACACCAAGCCGGTGATCGGCGGCGGAGCTGGCGGCACTGCCGGCCTCCTGGCCGACTCCCCGGACCTGTTCGGTCTGGAGCACCTCCTCCAGCCGGGCTCGGGGGCGGCCGGCGCGCCCCAGGCCGAGCTCTCTCACCAGACGGTGGTGGACGCGCTCGGTGACGCCGCCACCCTGCCAGCTCTCTCCGAGCCGGTGGTGTCCTCGTGTCTGGCCGATGCCGTGTACGACGGCCGGTTCCTGGTGACAGGCCCGGCCGTGCCGGCGCTGCCGACGCCCGTGCCGTCGGCTCAGCTGGCCGTCCAGCCGCCACAGCTTCCCGAGTCGTCGACGGCGGCGTCTCCGGGCTCTCCGTGCGCGCCGGGCGGCCGGTGCTCGCCCACCTCTCCCGGCTCGTCCACCGGAGACGGCAACATCGGCGAGGGTATGCCAGCGCTGGACATCCGGATCAGCATACTGCAGCAGCGGGTGAGTACCATAGACACAGACACAGACATAGACACAAGTACGGACACATATATAGACGTACCCATGACACAGCGTACAATACAGATGCAGTGAACATACATAGAGACAGATGCACAGACAGGGTGAACATAGAGACAGTCACTGACAGCCGGTGCATAGTAGACAGCGCACGAGAGTGCTCTGCCTCCCAACCGAACCAGTGCACGATTCGCACCTATCACCCATTGCTCTGCCTAGTGGAGGATACACTTCCCAGTGCGTAGTGATCTCTCAAACGCACACATGGGTTTTTCATTAGACAGGTAGATACCAAATTCTACGTTGGGCGCTCTCACCATGTCAGAGATAGCGTTTCAAGGCTGGCGTCACCGGGGCGAGCCAACGACTGATAGCCCTCCTGTCAACCGTGTCGTCTCAATCTGGATTAGCCCGATCCGGCCTGGACACAATGAGAAATCGGGGGATTTACGAGATATTCAGAGCTGCAAACGTGACTTTGTCATCACGATTCTGGCCGATAGCAGGCAGCCCGGCGGATTTGGTGGAAATCTGAGACTAGCGCGAAATAATCTCGGGCTGGGTTACGTCAGGGTAACCTTGGACAACTAGCCAGAAGAGAGTTGTCACATGCAAAGTGGCGACGGGTCCGCATGTTTTCGTAGCGAGCACACGTTGGCGCAGGCCTTATAAGGAGCTATATAGCGAGCCAGCGCAGTAGTTATATTTAACCGGGCCGGGCTGATTGCTAATGTCACCAAATCAAAATCACTAGTCAAAAGCGATTATTAATTAATGTTTTACGTCCGTCAAGAAGTGAGCTATTTTTACGACATAAATGCATTCACTCGTAACCTAACTTGAACGTACGCCGCACGGCTACCCCAATCTGTTTTTTTTTCCAGCGTGTACACTCACATTGACAGGTATAGCCTTTCTCTGAGAAACAAAGGTCTGTTAACACAAAAAAGCAAACGTCTCTTTGTCGGCTGCGTTGGAAGTAGGAACTAAAGGCACCGTCGCCTCGCGATACTGCTGTAAAGATTGTGTTTCTGAGCGCATTTCCTGACGGTCTTTTCTTTGTCTTCCTTCAGATGGGCCTGCCCGACTCGCACAGTTTCGAGTTCGTCAACGGCGGGCATGGCATCAAGAATCCCCTAATCAACGAGCGAGACCTCGAGGTCGAGAAGCTGCCACCTATCAGTGAGTATACAACCCAAACTTACACACCGTCCGCTGGGCGGCGCTGCGATCGCCGGGTGAATGAACGCGAGAGACCCAGAGTGGCTAGGTCGTCGGCGCCGCTTCCTGGAGGTAATAGCCGCGACGGACCGCGCAGGCTTCCGGCGCCGGTTGCGGCCGACCGTGACGGACAGTGGCGCACGGCACCGAAATAGGCGCTCACTGGGAGCGGCGAGCTTGGTTTTCCGAGACGTAAGAAGTGCTGAGTGAACGATGAGAGGAGTGGCGCAATTAGTTGCTGATCTCATGATCTCACTGGAAAAAGAGTTGGCTAGGGCTGGTAAAATTTTCAGGGTTGCTTTATCATTATCGGCTTATCACGAGCGAGGACTGTCGTGCGTTAACGAGCATGCAGCATGAGATGAGCCAGGAAACGATTAAATCAGACTCTCACATGATTAAAAAATAAGATAAAAGATGTTGAGAAGGCTGACGCACTAGCAAGTTTATAACCAACGATTGTTTCAATCGTTGGTTATATGCAGATTAACCGCGATATCTGCAGATCGGACAAAAGTCGACGGCGATACTACGTGATAAGGAAAATTAACCGGCACGATCGTGCATGGCTCCATTGTCTTATTGTTCTTTTCCGAGTAGGGCCACCTAGCTAGTTAGTGACCACCGCATATCGGTGTATTTCTCTCTGCGAAGACAGCCATCCCGAGCGGTACCTCACACTGTCCTCTCCACCTTTGCAGTTGTGGAGGATGACCCGAAAACCTACATGTGCCGGCTCTGCTCCAAGAAGTTCACCCTGCAGCGCCTGCTGAACCGGCACATGAAGTGCCACTCGGACGTCAAACGCTACCTCTGCACCTTCTGCGGCAAGGGCTTCAACGACACCTTCGACCTGAAGCGACACACGCGTACTCACACCGGTACGTGACAGAACGGGCACGGGGCGGCGCGGCTCAATCGCTATTCAGGCTTCAGTCCATGGTTCATGAACAGGCTGCGGTTAGAAAGATGAACATATCTGATAGGAAAAGACCCGTATGTAATTATAGCTTCGGACCCTGAAAGCAAATTTCAACTAGTGCCATGGCATGGGCTATGTGTGTGCTTTGTACCCGACCCGTGTCTCAGCGCATGACCTGACCGCTCCTGCTCCTCTTCCAACAGGTGTGCGGCCGTACCGGTGCGTCATGTGCGAGAAGTCGTTCACCCAGCGGTGCTCCCTCGAGTCGCACTGCCTCAAAGTGCACGGCGTCCAGCACAACTACAACTACAAGGAGAGACGCAACAAGGTCTACGTCTGCGAGGAGTGCGGCAACACCACCATCGAGCCCGAGGCGCACTACTTCCACCTCAAGGACAACCATCCCAACAGCCCGGCGCTGCTCAAGTTCTACGACAAGCGCCACTTCAAGTTCCACAGCAACTTCGCCTCGATGCTACTGCAGGCGCGGACGTAGTTCCGGTCGTCGCCACCAGGGGCGCTGTGCACGCCCCGTGCCTGCTGCTACTGAGGAGCCGACAGACGGAAAGATCCACAGACAGACGGACTGACAGACAGACTGAAAGACTGGCAGCCGTTCTCCCAGCGGGAAGACGGCGCCGACTACCGCGGGCTCGACGGGCTGGCAATATCTGCACATACAATTGGCTGTTTTATATCTATTTAGGTGTCAGGTGTGGCCGCGCAGGCGGTATGTTAGGCACCTGGACAGAGGCATTGTTTGTGTTTGTATCTGTTTGTAAGCGGCATTCAGTGTATTTTTTCGTGCGCGTGCGTTGGTGGTTTGTGCGTCTGGGCGCGAGTGTGCTCCCTGGAGGGGCGACGGCGGCAGTGGCTCGCTGGACGAAACCAAACGCCTCTCGGGTTGTGCGCGGCGGCCGGAGCGAGACACGGTCGCGGAGACACCGACCACCGCTGGACTGGGCATTTCTCGGCGGCTGGAGGGACGCAGCGCGAGCGAGCGGTGCCGGCCGTACTGCGTAACCGCTGTATGTAGCTAGCTGTAGTGAGTGAGCGGAGTGCCGCTGCGAGCGGCAGAGTGAGCGGTTTGCTCGCCCGGCCGGCCGGCAGAGTACCGCCTCGGTGGCCGGCCGCGACGGCGGCGTTCACGGGTTGCCATGACAACTGGCGCACCGCGGTGTCGCCGCGACCGCCACCACGCCCAGCTCTCTAGACAGGCACTATCGGTGGCTGGTTAGGGGGCCGCCGGACGCGGGAGTCGCCCCGGCGGCCCAGCAGTCTCACAATGAAGGGCGTGGCGGCCTCTCGGCGGCACCGGCCCGCCGCGCCGGCCGGCACACCGATGCGACCTGCCCGCCGACCAGGGCGACACCTGGAGAAGACCGCCAGAGACCGGAGCGACATCTGGACAAGGCGGACGGGATATGACGGGCATACTGTCGGCGTGAGAAGCGAGTCAGTGTTAACCAGCCAAATCTGGGCATTCGAGTGTTGCTGGTCATTTGTGCAGTGTGTCTGAGTGTGGTGCGCGTTGTTGGCAGTTATTTTACTGAGCCTGCCTCCTGGGCGTTACTGGGTTGTACTTGGCTCCGCTGTTGTACCTACACTCGTCCTCATGACTAAGCGCTGGAGGCGCAGGTCCTCCAGTACAAAGGCAGGTGTGTGCGCCGCCCCTTCCCCCGCCTCGCGGTATTGTGCCGCGACTGGCCACTGTTGTTCTACGCATGTTCAGCAAATACATTTATTAGCGTTACTGAAACGATGCGTTTGCTGTATTTTGTTAATATGTTCATAACTGAAGAGCGCTGAAGATCTCGGCTCTCTTGAGAATGGTTGATAAGGGGTGGGTGGTTTAATTAAACTGTTTTGGAAGAACGTTATGGTCTCCAGGACTAGTTTTACATGTGATCAGCGACCCATGACAAGAAGAGAGTGAGAGATATTCGGTTTTCTTTGCGACACCGGATTTTGGGGTCAGGACGGATAGGTTGTGCACAAAACATCTTCAATAGAACGTCGAACGTCATGAAATTCCATGAAATTAAAATCTGGTACTAACGTGATGGAATATCCAGTGGCAAATAAATAAAGAGCAATGCAGGCAACAAAGAACCACTTTCAAAAGTCGTGAACTACGCAGCTTGTTCCCTTCATAGCATCTTACAAGCCACGACAAATGACGCAAACACAAAGCTGCTGCGGTTGTTACGGAAAAAATTAAAGTCTCTGATCACAGTACCTACCGAGATTTGGTCACTAATCCCTTTCGAAGGTAGCCGATCACGATGACGCCTCAGCGGACGGTCACTCACCCGTCGAATTAGTCATAGTGTGAAGTGGGGAAGGAGGGCTAACAGCCGAAACGGGTTAAACGGGAGGTGATAAGGATGGGATACGTTTGGGATTGAAAGTGATAGTTGCATGACGTCATATCGAAGTCAGCGAAAAGTAGCGTACCATATACATACATAGGTAAACGGAGCATTTTGTTTGTTACATAGGTAACAAATTATCATTATCATATTACATAGGTAACGTCATATCGAAGTCAGCGAAAAGTAGCGTACCATATACATACATAGGTAAACGGAGCAGAATTTGTTACATAGGTAACAAATTATGGTGAGGTACGCGATGTGCTCACGTTAGCTATCGGCGTTTCCAATTTTCAATAAAGGGATGAGACTGAGAGGGCAATGGAGAGAGCCTTAGAGCAGCATTCTCAGTCCTCACTGTCCCTTTATCGTAGCTCCATCTGCGCAGCTTTAGCTAAACTTGCTATTCATCATTACGTACACCGAGATTTGGCCTCAGAGGCTCAGCGTGTGATGAGAGATGCCCACATGATGTTGACCAAGTGTCGCTCTAACAGCCCCCTGTTGTTCGACAAGGCGCAGGGTGTGTTTGGTGAGAGTGAGCATGTGAAGGTGCTCGGTGTGATCTGGAACCCGACTGATGACCTGTTCGCATTCCAGGGCGTGTCACTGCCTGACGACATTGTTCCCACAAAACGTGTCGTTCTCAGCTTTGTCGCACGCATGTTCGATCCCCTTGGATTCATCAGCCCGTTTGTGATGACTCTGAAATCTCTTTTCCAAGAGCTGTGGCAGCTGGGGTTGCACTGGGATGACCCGCTGCCGGAGTCCTGTCGTGAGACGTTCGCCAGATGGCTGAGTGGACTGGCGATGCTGAAGGAGCTGCGTGTGCCGCGCCGCTACTCGCCGAGCGCGTGGAGGGACGGCCACGGCGCTGAGCTTCTGGCATTCAGCGATGCATCGCCCAAAGGGTATGGAGCTACCGTTTACATCCGTGTCCCTTTGGAGGATGGGTCATTTCATGTGTCGCTGGTGATGGCAAAGAGCCGTGTGGCGCCTGTTAAGAAGCTTAGTCTTCCTAGGCTAGAGCTTCTTGGCTGCCTGATCGCGGCCCGCCTGGTCGTGTTCGTGAGGAGTGCGCTCCGTCTCTCGCACAGTACTCCGTGCCTCTGTTGGACTGATTCAATGGTAGCACTGGGTTGGATCAGGGCCGATCCACGTAAGTGGAAGGAGTTTGTGGCCAACAGAGTGACTGAAATTCAGAGTCTGACGGATCCTGAATGGTGGCAGCACTGTCCGGGGGAGTGTAACCCGGCTGACCTCACCACACGCGGGGTGTCTGCTGAGGAGCTTGTGAGGTCAGAGCTGTGGCTCAGTGGGCCATCTTGGCTGTCACACTCTCACACATCTGACGTGAACCAGTCTGTCATGGTGCAGCACGATTTGTCCGGCGTCTCTGTGAGTTCTCCCGGAGGTGACGTGTGCCCCCGTGCAGGTGACGTGTGCCCCCGTGGAGGTGACGTGTGTTCCCTTGGTGGTGATGTGTACCGAGCTGGTGGTGATGTGAGCACGCCTGTGTGCTCACCAGGCGGTACCGTGCGCACGCCTGTGTGCTCGCCTGGCTGTGCTGTGTGCACGCCTGTGTGCTCGCCTGGCGGTGCTGTGTGCTCGTCCGGCGGTGCGGCGTGCTCGCCTGGCGGGGCTGTGCGCACTCCCGGCGCAGCCGTGTGCTCGCCTGGCGGTGCTGTGTGCTCGCCTGGCGGTGCTGTGTGCTCGTCCGGCGGTGCGGCGTGCTCGCCTGGCGGGGCTGTGTGCTCACCCGGCGCTGCCGTGTGCTCGCCCGGTGCTACCTTGTGCACACCGGACGGAGCTGTGTGTTCGTTTGACGAGAAGGTGTCTGATCCTATTACTGAGGAGATGGTTGAAGTAGAGTCCTTCTGTTTGGTGACTTCACAATTTGAGGAAGTATTTCCTGTTGAACGCTGGGGTAAGATGTCCAAGGCTGTCCGTGTGGCGGGCTGGGTCCGTCGATTTATACGGAACTGTCGTGCCCCAGCTGACAGGTGCAGTCTTCCTGATCTGACGACTCTCGAGCTAGCTGACGCGAGGCTCGATCTGCTGCGACAGGAGCAGCGGAAGGCGTTTTCTGGAGAATGGAGCGCGTTGGAGAAGCGCCAGTCGCTGCCGAAGGGCTCGCGCCTGATCGGTCTCGACCCGTTTATCGCTGACGATAGACTTCTCAGAGTGAGGGGTCGGCTGGAGTTCTCTGACTTGATGTACGAGGAGAAGCACCCGATTCTGCTGCCAAAATGTCACTTGGCTGTGCTTTTGGCAAGAGAGCAGCATGTTCTTCTGAAACATGCGGGTGTCTCAACGATGATGACTTCGCTCAGAGGAGCGTATTGGATCTTGGGCTTGCGCTGCATCGCCAAGGGTGTGAAGCGCGGCTGTGTCAGCTGCCTTCGTCACGATTCTCGACCGTTCAACGAGGAGGCGGCGCCTCTGCCGGGCTGCAGAGTGACTCAGTCCCCTCCATTCACAGTGACTGGTGTTGATTTTGGTGGTCCCCTGTTCAGCGTCGATTTTCCACGGAAGAAGTTTTACGTGTGCCTGTTCACGTGTGCTGTCACGCGTGCCGTTCACCTTGAAATGACTGACGCCCTGTCGTTACCGGCATTCATGCTAGCACTCAGGCGTTTTTCAGCCAGGCGCGGTCTACCAAGGATCATGTACTCTGACAACGCACCTACTTTCAGGGGAGCTGATAAGCAGCTGCAGCGTGTCTACAGTCATCTGGCGCCTGAGTGGCGCTTCATTGTACCGCATTCGCCGTGGTGGGGCGGATGGTGGGAACGGCTCATCCGTTCCGTGAAAGTGGGCCTGCGCAAGTCGCTTGGGTCACGCTGTCTGTCACGGGATGAGCTGGAGACTGTGTTGTTAGAAGTTGAGTGTTGTGTTAACTCCCGTCCATTGACGTTTGTTGGTGATGGACTGGACTCGAGCCCCCCGATCACCCCGGCGCACTTTCTGACGGGCAGAGGGACCGGGTTCTCCTCGCGGGTGGTGGAGGACCCTGCCTGTGTGAATGCGAAGGCGCTGACTGAGAGAGCTCGTGTGTGTGAGAAGCGTCTGGCTAGATTTTGGTCTGTCTGGTACAAGGAGTATGTCAGGACCCTGCCGCCTTCTGTCAGAAGGTTCAGGCCTCAAGGTAAGCTGTCCGAGGGCTCCATGGTCATGCTGCAGGAGGATAACGTGCCGCGCATGAGGTGGGTGCATGGCGTCGTCACGAGACTGATCACCGGCCGAGACGGAAAGGTGAGGTCGGCAGAAGTCCGGACTCCGTCTGGTCTAAAAACCCGTCCCATCCAGAGGCTTTTTGACCTCGACCCGCTGTCCTCTGAGCCGTGAACCGCTCACATTCGTCGGCGGTGTTAGACCGCAGTGTTCGTCAGCAGTGTTAGTTTGTTTTTCTCTCGTCTGCGATTACAGGCAAGGTAGTGTTGGGCGCCGACTGTAGATGTCGCTCTGAGCAGTGAGGCGGCGTGCAGAGGACGCGCTGAGTTGACAGTTGCGTGTGGTGGCTCGCAGAGTGCAGGGTGCAAGTGGCCCTGGTGATGTGACAAGTTTGATGTCGTTTGCGTCGAGGTTGGCGTTTGTTTGTTTGAAGAGTGGTGAATCGATTTACGTTTGCGTTTGTAGACTGATGCGTTTGACTCAGATTCTCTGTCTGAATCTGTCTGAATTGAATTAAGTGATGCAGTCTTGTTCGCTGTGAACTATGGATCTGTCGTTGTAAGATCGGTTCCGTACCTGTGTGAAACGCGCCCTCTGAAGTTCGCATTTCAGGGGGGAGGATGTTACGGAATTTAGTGAACGCTTCTCTTGGCAGCGATTCAACGACTATTTTTTAGCAGTGGTTTAGTGTTTCGACGGTCGTCGACGTGGCCTGAGAAATGTGATGTGGTGCGCAGGAATCGTCTGATTCAATATATACGCATTGAAATGGCTTGAGAGTTGAGCCACGTGTCTCCAGGTCTGTGTCGGAGATTTTTCGGATTTATTTGAGAGTTGAGAGTTGAGTCAAGTTGAATTGTCAACACATACATAGGTAAACGGAGCATTTTGTTTGTTACATAGGTAACAAATTATCATTATCATATTACATAGGTAACGTCATATCGAAGTCAGCGAAAAGTAGCGTACCATATACATACATAGGTAAACGGAGCAGAATTTGTTACATAGGTAACAAATTATGGTGAGGTACGCGATGTGCTCACGTTAGCTATCGGCGTTTCCAATTTTCAATAAAGGGATGAGACTGAGAGGGCAATGGAGAGAGCCTTAGAGCAGCATTCTCAGTCCTCACTGTCCCTTTATCGTAGCTCCATCTGTGCAGCTTTAGCTAAACTTGCTATTCATCATCACGTACACCGAGATTTGGCCTCGCCTTACATCAGTCTCTGACTCACCCGCTCCCCGCCAAAAATGTCCAGCACGACTGGCCTCCACACTGAGTCTGTTAGCTGACCGATATCATCATCAGTGACCCTCCAACCACCAGCACTCTCGTCACCTAACGTCATCTCTGAGCGACGACCCTCCTTTACCGGCACCGGTCGCGACTCGGTAAGATGACTCACTCGTAATCCCTGCATGGTGTGAGCGCTGAGAGCCAACAGCTAGTCGGTCAGGTGGTGATGTCATAGATGACGTCACAGAACGGAGTTCGGACGGTGGATAGAGGTCGGTAATCCATGCAAACAGGGCGGGAGAGAGGACGGACCGGATCCACACGGGACTCTCCCATAAGCAGAGAACACCGAGGAGCATAATTAACCCGCGCACCGACGGGGGGGGGGCGGATATCCGCCCCCCCCCTGAGGTTTTTCGCGAATAGCGGGAAAACCGCGGCGCGTAGCGCCGCGAAATTTGGTATGACTATAACCTCATCAATTTTACACATGGTGTGCAAGTTTGAACCTCCTACCTTTTAAGGTCAGGTCACCAGGTCACTTTGAATGACCCAACCTCAAGTCACTTTTTTGCAACTTTGTCACCGTGCCAGAGCTATAGTAAATGTCGGAGGCCTTTGAAAGTCGCAGGATATTATTAGGTCATTAGTAGCTACAATTTGTATATCTCGGAATTTTGATATCGGTGACCTAAGGTCAGGTCAATTTCGCGACCTCCCCATTATAAGTCAATGGGGGAAAAATCAACTCCCTGTTTTTACCACTAAAACGGGTAGGAATGGCCCCATATACCATACATAACTTCATATACGATCAACCTTCACTACCTTGAGGTCTGTTTTGCTGTTGGGCAGCTGTGAGGTCATGTGACGTCATCAAAGGTCACCAAAGGTTTTTGGCCAATAACTCCGTACAGGAACAAGATACAGACGCGTGGGTGGTCTCATTGTGTTCAGCTCGTCAAGACGCATCGAATGATATGCATGATGACCTCGAGGTCACGTGACCTGAGGTCAACCTTTGACCTTGACCTTTCGAGGTCAACATATATATCATTCGATGCGGATTGACGAGAGGATCACGATGATGCCCTTAGTTTGTTCCTATCTTGACTAATTCGAAAGTTATTCGAGAAAAACTCTCTCCATATCTAGCGCCGCCATTTTGACTTTTTCGACCCCTGTGACGTCATCTTTGACCTGACCTGAAAATGACCTTAGTAAAAATTGTAGAACTTGGCCGTGCGTATCCGATGCCGTTTACCGCTTGTCGCTATCTTGCTTCGTTCTCGAGATCTCAGGGGGGGGGGCGGTCATCCGCCCCCCCGTCGGTGCGAAGTTGGCGCAGACCCCCGTCGGTGCGCGGGTTAAGATCGCATCTCAGTGCACAGGACCTAGATGAAAAGCGGCGGGGCATGGAAGGCGGCGAGATCACAGGACCTGAAGCTGAGATTTGATAGCACTGCGATGGAGGATAGGCGGCTTGGTTTCTGAGCGTCTCTACACTCACCGAAAGTTAGTTAGGCGGTACTAAGAATCAGATTAGAGTCTCATCAAGAGCGGTCTCAAAAACATTCGCAAGAGCAACAAATGTAAACATGTTCCATGAATTGAGGGTGTCCTCTCATCAACTAAAATCCGGCCCACTCATCTCATGATAAAAAGAAAAAACAAGAATCAGAATCAAGCGCCAGCCTCAACAGCCAGCTCTGGTTCAAAAGGAGCGGCCGATCTGATGAGAGCGATCCGACTCAGGAGCGTCATGGCACAAACAGGTCCGAGATATTCGTCTCTCCCGTGTGCTGCTAAGTAGGACAGGGCCATGGTTGGATGATGTCGCTTCGCAGATTGCTAGCCGGAAACATCATAGGACAAGCCAGAAGATGGTGGAAAGGATCCGGCTCAAAGAAGGTGGACGTTCTGGTATCTCCCCTAAGCAAAAGCGAAACAAATCCGGAGTGGAGTTCTAGGAATAAGATGCAAGGGCACTCTGTGCTGATAAGAAAACATATGAAAGCCGTCTTGCAGTGAGTGACGCTCCCAGCGGACGTCAAGTCGTCATCTGCCTGATAAGTCCTGACACACAGAGACACTCTATTTACAGGACACGATCGGCACGACACCGATCCCTTTCGGAACTATGCCATGATTCGATGACCTGACCGATAGACGGAGGTGGGCAATGACCGCCACATGGCCGGTGAGCAATGGGTCAGTGACTGGCGCCGACCCCAGGACTCACGCATCCAAAACACGATGGGCTGCAAACCTGTCAGATAGTACGGATCGATGGTCAATCCATGTCAGATTCACGACGAGTCGTTCCCAGCTTTGCATGATCGTGATGATTTCGGCTTCTCAACATAAAGCTAGTCGTCTCTGTCGCATCAAATTCGAAAAGTCGAATCATGAAAGACAGTAGCCTAGCCGCATTCCATCAGACATTTCCAGACACAAGATTTATGAGGCAGACATGTATTGTCTCGGAAACGAGAGACACGTATAAAAGCTACACATACATGCATCGTATTGGGCAGTAGAACAGTGGCAAGACAATATCACTGTCTAGCGTCTATTCAAATCCGTTCCAACCAGCATAAGCGTGCATGCACTCCAACCGCTCTCAAGTTTGCTATAATGCTTACTTTGTCAACAGACAGGACAAGCAACGCAGATACCTGATTAACGATTATGCAACAGTTAACACGAATGACTTCAAAGGCAGTACATATGTGATATGACAGACACATAAGCGTTAAGACATGGGAACACAAGAAATTCTCCAAAGGCAGTATTTACAGTTGACATGGACATATAAACGTTGAGACATGGCAACTAGCGACTGCGGATACACAACTGGAGCGTTAGGTTCAATGGAGTACGCGTTATGACAGGAACACTGTACGGCAGTAAGCGGGCTGAGAAATGCAGCATGAAGGCACAACATGATGAAAAGTAAACAACATACGCATATGACATGGAGGTGAGAACCAGGACCGTGTGGCAGAATCCCAGAACTTTTCACACAATTTATCTTAATTTAAGTCACACAACAAACAAAAGACTGCAATTAATTACTGATTGCAAGGGAGGAGGACGACTATACTGCAAAAGAAGTCGTCAGAGATCGGGTAAGGAGATACAAGTATATCCTTACCCACTTTTCGTGAAAAATTCTGCGACCATGCCATTCACAAATAAGTTCAACGCCTGGGTGATGTCAAATGTCTACAAAATAGAAAACGACAATGGTACGTTGAACGTAAAAAAACTACAAGCGATAGCTGCCGTATAAGCGTAGAAACACATCACATGGAGCTGCACTGGTTTTGATGCCCATATTGAAAAGCGTCATTAACATTCAATATTCCTAATAGCCTCTTGATATTGACAACGAGATTCAAAAGAGATACGCAGTGATAGATACTCGGTTAACCTCAGCCAATCTCTCATCTACAAAGCATTAACAATCTCTTCTCAAGGACGAGTCACGATACTGTTCTAACGATGCTACAAAGTCTCATCATGGCATCAAAGTTCTGACATATGACGCAAGATGATGCTACGCCAAAGATTGGAAAGAAACTCCGTCAATACGGTAGCGACTGACAAAATCATGCGAATGGCGTGGTGGTATATCGACAGCCGCTTACAAACTGCATCAAATGGCACACAGTGGAGATCTTACACTGGTAAGAAGAGCTATGGGTCTACACATATGACTACGCAGCGCGAAACGAACCAGCTTAGACTTAATACCATCCCGCGGACGCATTGTATACTGCTTCTACGCTATCCTCGTGAGCTTGATAACACCGATAGCTTGTGGCACACACGTGTCAAACCCGGGCAAAGGGCAACAGCATCTCCTGCAGTAACTTTGTCGACTCAACCGTACTCTGACTCATCAAAACAGCATCCGCCGCCAAACCGGAGCAGTGACTCATCTAGTCAACCTTCCTCCCATACACACGGCAAACAACAACCCCGCACGGTACTCGACCGAATACGTACAGCATCGAAACAAAAGGTTCGACCACACCCGGCTAGCACTCAGCCAGCAAACGACCACCCGCCGCCGGCAGATACCAGCGCGATAACCGCGACAGGTAAATATCGGGCGACGTATCAGACGCCCGTAGCGCAGCACAATGGAACATGGAACAGTGCTGACAACTCGGGAACTCCGCGACTTCTGTGGCGGGGAAGGGCCGAAAATTCCCGGTCTGCTGATGGATGGGTGCATGGAACGAAGTGGACGTTTGTGACAGTGACCTGATTATCGTCCACTAGCCAGGGAATGTGAAGGAAAGAGCGTAAGGCAGCGGGGTAGCCGCAGACACGGACAGTTGCGATGGAAGCAGACTGGAAGGAATGAAAGCAAAGGGATACGATGGAAGAGGCCGGTCGGGACCGTGATGAGATTGTACACTATACAGAGAGTGTAGGCTGAGTAGACGGCAGTGATAGCCTGGAAAGTGTTGAGTGACTCTCGACGTCAAAAGGGCAGAACCAGCGCTCGACATTGGAACATCACGGGACAGAGGAAAGAACTCCGCCGTAGGAGATGTTTTAACACAAGATATCCTTTAGATCCAACGGATGTAAGTTCAGCTCCCAGGACAATATGTCGGAACCAAGACGTCAGAACCAGAGGATTGGATATATCAAAGCACCTCAAGATCGGATCGATTGCATAGCTTAGGCATATCCACTTATCAAAGGGGCTATCAGAAACACGATACGGAATAGTCAGATCTAGAACATTGCACCATAAAGTCTCATCCATGGAATATCAGGTCCATGCAAGACAGCGTTTAATCAACATTGCCGTAAAAACATGATCCGTGATACATCCAAGCAAGGCAGAGGAGCACCTTTACGATGATTCAGTGCACCCCCCCCCCCGACAAATAGATCAAAAATGTGTGTAATGCCTTCCTTTCGCCCACTCTGTAACAGTCATCACACTCTTACCAGCTACCATAACTTCTCCTAGATCGTCGTACCTCAGACTGCAGAGGACGCACCTTTCGCAGAAACCAACTCAGCTGTGTCAGAAGTCTCCACTGTATCCATTCCGTGTTAGCTGCCAGCGGTGCCCGGGGCGGCGACCACGGCACGGACGGGGGCGGCCGAGTCCGATCTACAGAAGGTCGGCGACCCCCGGCCCGCTCCCAGCTCTTCCAGCTCGTGTCGAAAGGATACTCTGTCGCTGTCTGCGTCCTCAGCTATCAGCTGGAGCTGGTCGGAGGGTGATGGGCCCCGCCGGCCGCCGTCAGGCAGCAGGGCTAGCAGAGACAGGGAGAGCGCCAGGTGCCACGCACTGTGCGTGTACTGAAAGAGGAAGAAGAGCGTGTTACTGAAAATTTGGAATACATACAAATTGTTCGAAGTTTTCAGACGCAGCTTCATTGAAAATGCCAGCGGCCATTATAGCCCCGAGCTTTTCACCAGAAATACCAGTCGCTTCGTGCAAACTGCAACGTGTCGAAGGAAACGAATAAAAAGTCACGTCCTGACAAAATAAGACGGTAACGGAGGCAGCGCATCACCGCATTATCCGATAATACTAACAGAGCGAAATGCATTGCTCAATGCCTAACCAACCAAACTGCCATTTGTCTTTCCAGCTCTGTAAGTTTCCCTTATCACCAACTCGGCCGAAACACACCCATATAATTAATTCCGCCAGATGGCGACTGATGAACGCCTCGCCCCCTCATCGCCTCTACACCCCAGCGCACCTGGTAGTTGTCGACTGTCTCCAGGCCGGTGAATATTCCGACAGCGATCAGGGCAAGCGTCAGCCCCGGCAGTAGGTGTCGCAGCAGCCAGGAGCGGCTGAGCTTCAGCAGTCGGCCGCGGCGCCAGCTCCGCGCCGCGTACACTGCCACCTAGCGAGGAATTGCGAAAGCAGTGAGCGGGGTTATATACGTCCGGGATAAGGGGGATTGGCCGCATTGGGACATTGTTCCTGGAGTGAGCGCTATTATACTGATAACAATGATTAAAAACAGGCACTCAACCACGAGACCAGACTAAATGAGTTGAACAGGTAACCGTCATTATGTGATAGTCTGTAATCACTAAGCATTCAAAGCTCAAACTCTGGACTCAAGTCTCAAACTGGCGTGGATTCAAAGCTGCCCTCGCGACAACATTCCTATCAATGTGGTATCATCTGTGTCTGCGGCCAGTAGTAGTTTTACCACAGCTGCAAATGCCACCTGTTATAATACTACCACGATGTAACCGCGGCCATTCACTCCCCTACCCTCACCACCTGACCTATCTACCGATCTCCCCTTCACCCGCCCCGCCCCTTCCCTCCGCACACGCCCCTCCCAATCCACCACCCTCCCTCACCGGTACGGCGGCAGCAAGCAGAACTGGTACCAGGAACACCCCAGCGCGGTGGGACGCCAGCGCACGGCAGCCGCCGCTAACACTGCACCCAGCACGTGCAGTGTAGGCTCGGCCCGCCGCCATTCGGCCAGGCTCACCAGGGGTCACCCAGCAGCTCAGTACGCAGCCGAAAAAGTCGCAGAATTGTAACACCTGTCGGGTAAAGGTGTTATGAGATCAGGTACGATAAGGAAACATCATTTAGTGTTGTAGAATTAATAAAATGGAAGAGGTGATTGGGTGAATGATAATCGAGCCGAAAAATCGCCGAAAAATCACTGAACCTGTGTCAACAGTCATTTGCGAAAAAGGCGCAAACACCACTAACAAAATTTAAATTCTCGGGACTCGTAGTCGCTGATATCCTCATTCCTCAGCTCACATCTCAATAATCATCCTATCCCAACACCCATGCAGTATAACAGGTAACAGCCGTCGCCCCATGAAAACCCCGGCCCATCCCGCTCAAAGCTCCCCACACACCGCCACCCACCTCAAACCGCAGCAGGCAGTATCCCGTGCCCGTCAGCTGGCGACCCAGCTGGTCACACAGATGGTACAGCATCGAGGCCACCATAGCCGCAGCGTAAACTAAAGCCAGGGTGGCCAGGCGGCGGCGCAGGGACAGCACAACGGCGGGCAGCAGTGCCAGGTTACTGAGGGTGAGCAGGGATACGGAGAGGAGGCGGCGGCCGGAGGGTACTGCTGCCGAGCCGTCGCTGCAGTCCCAGCCGCGGTAACCTGGAGAGAATGGGATGTCAGTGGCCGGTTAGGGGGTCATAGGATACCGATCCAGCAAACAATAGAATGTTGGCATATGTCTGCAAGGATAACATTAGTCAATAATTGGGGCTCGGTGGCATTCAACGGACGGCCGATACCATTTTCCAAGGCCCTAACCATTTCCCACGCCATCTTGGCTTTCCAACGGGAAGGTTCGACTCCTGTCCACAGAGTCCTGCATCTACTAGATGGAGTCGACGAAATAAGTCTAAGGGCCTGTTCCAGCGCCTCCAGAAACCTCCAGAAACCTCCAGAAAGCTCTAGTATCCTCCAGAGAGCGTTCCAGCGCCTCCAGAAAGCTCCAGAAAGCTCTCGCCAAAGCTCCAGAAACCTCCAGTAGCCTCCAGAGAGTTGGGAGGTCCAATTTTCTCTGGAGGCTCTGGTCTACAATTATGGCGCACATGTGACATTCACGAATGTAAACAAAGAACTTTTGACTGAGAATTTTACAACTTGAATGTAATGAAAATTACATTGCTATAATTTTGTTAATCTTTTTTACTAATATTGAAAACAAATTTTGCGTTTCAAGATAGAAACAATCGTCATTCTTTTGGTATCTATGACGCCAATCTCCAGAAATCTCCAGATTGCGTTCCAGCGCCTCCAGTGAAACCTCTGGTAGAGCCTCCAGTCAAGAATTTCTACTGGAGGCGCTGGAACAGGCCCTAAGTAAGTCTACATAAGCCTCCAGTCCGTCCAACTTTCAACATCCGTCAGCAGCTCCGACCATCCGCATTCTGCCACGAACAGTTTGAATGTCTGTTTATACCTCTCGTTTTTACAACTTGACCGATGGCAAGGAATAGCCACTGTATGTGGATTTGCCGGAATAAATTGGTATTGGTATTGTTATCTAGCTCCCACTGTTCAACTTCCACATTCCACAATGTTATCCACTGTCCACGCTAAATCGTTCCACCCTCATCCACTGACTAGCCACTATCCAAGCATCCATATTCCATCGCCCAACATACCGTCCAGGCAGCTGCAAGCGGTAAAGTAGAGCCGACCACGGTGGTTCTCCCGACATATACCGTGCTCTCCACACGGCGCGCCGGGCCACACACACGGCTGGAGGTGGACGTCCAGGTTCACTGCGTACTGGGAGCGGACGCAGGGTAGCTGGCTGCCAGAGCTGTGTGCAAAGATGGGGAGGGATTGTTTGAGAGAGGGAAACTACGGCCAGTTCTGGGGAAGATGGTACGGGTGAACGAGGGTTACTGCACTTGGCTGGACACAATTAAGGCCAGATAGCAGAAATAAATGCAGACATTTCCTTGCGCAAGCGGACAGCAAAAACCAGACGATCTTTATTTCATGTGTTTTTCATTCTGATCTAAGGTAAATGTCTGTTTGCTAACTAAATGTCAGCCGTTCTTACGGCGACTAGATTCATAAATACATGTTTTAAATCTTACCTGGCATTGTAGCAGCTGGTGCGCAGCGAGACGAACCAGCGGGCTGGCTCGGGAAACGGCACCAGCCGAACCGCGGAGAGTTGCCGCTCGCTGGCAGAGCTCAGGTTAAAGGCCAGCCCCGGGTGGCAGAGCAGTTCACCGGCGTCCGTAACAGGCAGGACGTGGGGCGACACGCAGCCAGACACGGTCACCACTTGACGAGAGTCGCCCTGAAAACGAAGGGGGAGCAGGGGCGGTCGCAGACTTGGAGTTTGGGGGGGGGGCCAACTTGGCAAAGGGGCCCCTGCGCTGACCCGGGGGGCCCGGTGCTAGCTTAAAGGGGCCCACAGGCGTAGTGCACGGGTCCAGAAATCTAGGCCATGGCCGGTGAAGCGGGGGGGGGGGGGGGTAGGGAGCGGCACCCCCGAGCGGAGGCTCATTGAAAGCTTTGAGGGTGCACCATGTGGAAAAGGTACCGAAAAGTGCATTTTGAAGCATTGATTATGTCAATAATTCACGCAACTGTGAATGGACTACCGCAAAAGTAAAGGCGGCTAACTTTGCCATTTTCTTTGCAAAAAAAAACTTTGCCATTTTTTAAGATCATCATGCAAAACTTTGAACAGTGGGTCATCGGTATCTGTTCACTGTTCAATCACATGTGTTCCGACTTCCGTTTAATCTTTTTTTTTTTACTTGAGCACAAATGCAAATTTTGAAGACCATTACAGTAGCAAATGCTTCGAAAGACGGATATTGGGCAAAATATCTCAAATTTGTCGTGCTGCATGGAAAGTAGTGTTGCTGAGGAAAGGGGATTTTGTTCCAGATTATTGTGGATGCAGAATACATTGTCTGCACTCACTGCAGAATTATTGTTGGTGCAACTACGCCCACTGTACCCATGGTTCCTACACTTATGGGCCCATCGATAGCGCTTCGGCAATACCTATCGCCTAGAGGCTGCAATGGGGCCCTTAGAGTAGGTACGGTGTCAGACCCCCAGAGGCCGGCGTTGGACCCAAAGGTCAGCGAAGGGCCTCAAAGGCCCCAGGTAGGGCCCCAGAGGCTGATGTGGGCCTTCATAAGCAAGTGCGTGACGCCCAAAGGTAAGGCTTGAGCCCCTCAGAGAACATCATAGGGCCATCAGTGCCGGTTGTAGAGACCTCATAGGCCAGTTTGCGGGCCCCTCAGAGGCTAGTGTGGGGCCTCAGGTGTCGCTATGAGGCACTTAAAGACCGGCATGGGTCCTCAGAAGCCGGCATCGATCCTTCAGAAGCCAGTACGGGGCCCTCAGAGGCACATAAGGGCAGTTTCGGTCCCAGAGACAGAAATGGGACCATCAGAGGCCGGTGTGGGTCGTGGGACCTTTAGAGGCTGGTTTGGGCTCTTAAGGGCCAGTTTAGAGCCCTCAGAGACCAGTACAGGGCCTGCAAAGGGCAGTTTGAGACCACCAGAGACCGAATTGGGCCCTCAGAGGCTAATATGGGTTCTTACAGGCCAGCATGGAACCCTCAGAGGTTAGGGTGGGGCCCTAAAAAAAACGACATGGGCCGGCGTTGGACCCCAGAGGCCAGAAGAGGGTCCTCAAAGGCCAATATGGGCCCTCAGACTAGGCCGATGCGGGCCCTTAGAGGCCGGCATCAGGTCTTCAGAAGCCCGTGCGGGGCCCTCAGAGGCTAAGGTGGGTCCTTACAGGCCAGCACGGGCCCTCAGAGGTCAGTGTGGGGCCCTAAAAGACCGGTATGGGCCGGCGTTGGACCCTAGAGGCCAACAGAAGGCCCTCAAAGGCCAAGATGGGCCGCAGAAGCCGATGCTGACCCTTAGAGGCCGGCATCGGGTCTTCAGAATCCAGTGCGGGGGGCTCTCGGAGGCCCTTACAGGCCAGCATGAGGCCCTCAAAGATCAGAATGGGACCCTAAAAGACTGGCATTGGCCGGCGTTGGACCCTAGAGGCCAGCAGAGGGCCCTCAAAGGCCAAGATGGGCCTTCAGAGGCCGATGCGGACCCTTAGAGGCCGGCATCGGGTCTTCAGAATCCAGTGTGGGGCCCATAGAGGCTAATGTGTATCCTTACAGGTCAGCATGGGCCCTCAGAGGTCAGTGTGGGGCCCTAAGAGACCGGCATGGGCCGGCGTTGGACCCCAGAGGCCAGCGGAGGGCCCTCAAAGGCCAAGATGGGCCCTCAGACGCCGATGCGGGCCCTGAGCGGC